TGCATTCATGTTGCTTCTGGCTGCAGGAAATAAACACAGAGAGAAAATTCATATGTTGCTTGCAGCATGATTCTATTTTTTTTTTCTTTTTTTTTGCCGTGTTTTTGGCTTAATGAAAGGTGGGAGGAGCACAAATTTTGGAATTTTTCAGACCGGGTCAGCTGTTAAAAATCAACTTTGATTTGTGGTATTACACACCACAATACTGCTACAGTAAGCAGAACGACATTAGACCTCTTTTCTTCTGTTCCCTTAAATCGTGGGAACATGTATCTTCCTCAGAACTGAAATTAAGAAATGAACTTGTGCTTCTTGCTTCAGAAATTGTATATAATTCCGTAGTGAACATTAGGTTTTGGTTCAGTCAGATGAATTGGAAAAAGAGAGTCATCTTCCTTTTCCAATTCTCTTTTRCTATTGACACAGTTGCCAGTTTTTGTTAGGACATATTGTCCTTTTCCAGAGCACATTTGTTTGAACTATTAGTCATTTTAAAAGTTATAATTCATAGCACGGAGATAAGCAAAAAAAAATGGCATGTCTTAGATTTAATAGTCTAATCATGATTAGAGCATATACATAGGAACAACTCATTGAAGGAACTTCACTTAAAAAGGGTTGGAGGGATGTGGTGGTACACATGGATTATATGGATTATATATATTCACTAGATGTGCAAAACATCTGAGAATCCCATTCAAAATATGATGCAGACTTTACATATTTCTATATTAACTCCASAGGTTGGCATTTCAGGTGAACTTGGCAAGACTTCTGGTGTTCTCTTCAAACCTTTGTGGAACAGAAATCTAAATTTGGTKTCATCCGTGGCATTTATTTTTTAAAGCATAAACTTATTCCCTTCAGAGTTTTCTCTCCTCTGTGGTGTTTTTGCTGGTTTTCTGCCTTGACTGTGGAGCACTGCGGAGAGCTCTGTTTGGAGCTGCATGCCCCTGTTGTCACAACCCAAGCTCTAAATTAAGTTTTTAATTATTTTAAAAGCATCTCTGCTTACTAATTACACTTCTAACAAAATATGATTGTAAATTGCTGTCTCATATTATCAGTCTTACTGCTATGATGTCACTGCGCAACCTCTTATTAACTAACCACTTAATAAGTACTCTGTATGTGAAAGTTGAATCAACTGCCTACTGCGTAATAATATTTAAGATATATGTGTTACACACAYATATATGTTTGGGCAAGGGAGCTAGGTCAAGCTGTGGTATGGATAAGTTCCTATTTCCTGATTCTTGCATTTTAAGTCCCAAATATTTTATAGCATTAATATAGCTTGTAGAATTGAATAGTAAGCTGAGTTGACAGATACAGTAGTTGGAACCTCAGAATGTATGCTTTGAGAAAGGACGTTTGTAAAATTAAATGCTTTAGTTTTGCAAAATTGAACCTATATCAATGAAATCAGGAATATCTCATGCTATTACCAGACCAAGGATGTGCAGTATCAGTACAGTGATATTTAACTGCAACAGCATAACAAGGAGACAGAAGGTGAACTCAGCTATGCTGTTTATTTTATTTCTATTCCTCTTGCTCTTCCTTTTAACTTCCCCTGTTCTCCTTTATTTGATTCTTTTTTTTTTTTAAACTAAGTTATAGGTGTTAATAGCCTGTTCCCTAGAAAAGGGACACTGCTCAGGAGGTCATGGGATGCTGCCAAGGGAAATGGCCCTGTGCTTTAGGACTCTGCTCCTGGTTTGACACAATTTTTAAAGAGTGACCCAACTTGCTCTAAGGAATGAAGGCTAAAATGAAATCCAGATTGCAAGTGTTTGTGTAGGGAAGGTGTTTACATGTGCCAAGGCAGAGAAAGAGTGCATGGATGAGATGAAGCTGGTTACATTCTGAATTCCAAATAATAGTATGGAGGCCTCCTGTTAGAGAATTTTAAAATGTTTTTCCATGTAATATGTTGCTATATCAAGTTAATGTATCTTGGAATAAAAGATTTTTCACTAGTCTTATGAAAGGTGCTTGTCTACTTTACATAAAAATTGTGTACGAAATATAAAAACCTAGCGCCTTGTGAAAGTTCAAGCAACTGAGCATTACACGTCCAAAATTCTTTAGGTGCAGAGAARATCTGCCAGTCCCAAAAGACCTAATGTTTCCATTTTGAACTTTACCCGTTAAGAAATATTTGAAAACATCCTCAAGGGATTGTTAATACCAGAGTTTATTTTAGGAAAAAACAATTAACAATAAAAATTGAAAGTAATGTTATTAAATATTAGATTAGACAGATTTTATCGGGGGAGCAGTTTTCTCGGTGGCGGTTAGGCCGCCTTGCACAAGGTCGGTGCTGCCTGAGAGGCCCAGCAACCTGTGTGCGGCGCCCGGGCCTCCGCTCGCCGGCTCTGGAAGGGAAAGAGAAGTCAAGGCTGCCTGGCTTGGCAGAGCACCTCCTGCCTGCCTGGAGCGGCAGTGTATGGAGAGATACGTTATCCTGAGGGTATTTTTTTGAATTCAAATGGTGTTCTTTTTGTCCTTTCATTTGGTCCCTGAAGTTCTGACTGCTGTAAACTGCAATGGCTTTTCTCTTGCTCCCAAAACTAAATGGGACACTTTGTTTGGTAAGCTAGCGGCCTGCAGGGGCTGGTTTCTTTTTTTTTTTTTTTTTTTTTGTGTGTGTGTAAGTTAGAGGAAACCGTGTAAAACTAAGTGGTTTTCCCATTACTTGAGGTTATATGAAGCAGTACAAAAGTGCAGAAAATATCTGAGAGAGAAACAAAGCAAGGACGTTCTGTCAAACAACTCGACTGCTGCCTCGTACCTTTTGRCTGGGCGCATTTCGCAGCGTTTGCAGCTCCCCAGAGCCAACTTCTCCCAGTTTCTTCTCCCCACAGGTGTCCAGGCTGCGTGTTCCCTTCCTGCCCCTGTGTGTGTTTGTGTAYGTGCCCATGCATCTGCATTCCTCCCTATCCTGTGCATCAATCCACAGGGAAATTGTGTGGACCAAATGGAATAGAGGTTTTGAGCATAAATTCTGGTACATGAAAGCTGGTGATGAAAAATATATAATGAAATTATGGCATAAATTCAGCAGCAGAATATTTTGATATTTGTTGTTTAGGAGCAACTTAAAATAATGCCAGCTTGTGAGCCTGAACATTGGTCACTGTCTGGAAAATCTAGGTAGATTAAGGTATTATGGCATGATTGGAAACATTTAATGGCTGTTTTATTTTTTTAGAAATGAAATAGCCATGTCAGATTGAACTTCTCAGTAGGATTTCTTTGCTGAGGCGTTGATTCGCATTGACTGACAGGATGACTGCATGTTTTACTCAGGCAGGTTATTCACCTTTTCTCAACACCTTTTTTTTCCGTCAATAAGAGCTAAAAGGGACAAACAAGGATAAATGGAAAAAGTTAAATATTTTAAATCCTTTATTCTCCTCTTCATGCTTCTAACTGGAACACTTACAAGTACACTGAATGTCAGGAGAAAAAAAAATGTATTAAAAATGTATTAAAATGTATCGTTTCTGTTTTTAACAGAGCCCATTCTTGCTGAGTGATTTATGCTTTTTAAGCAATAAAGAAATGATTGTAGCTCTTCTGTCATACGCAGCTTGTTAGTGTTTTTTGCATCTACTTCCTGAATAATTTAAGGATGGCGTGGTATAATTTCTTAAAAAAGAAATTATTTAGAAGTTTCATTTTAATTGTGAACAAAAGGGAATTTCCCAAATGTAACACAACAAGAATTCTTCTGGTATTAGACTGACAAAATGCCTACCATTACTTCAAGTCATGGTTGGAGAACAAGTTGAAGCGGGCATCTTGCCTGCTTTTTTTTTTTTTTTTGCTTTCTTCTGATGTCTTTCCCCCATATTTATTAACAGAGATTTAGAAGTTTTTATAGAAAACGGTCTCTTGAATGGAAAGCAAGTAGGTCCGAGTTGCATCTCTTAAGGACATTGCTTCAGATCCATGTTGGACAAATATACCCCTTTGCCTGCAGAATATCAGCACAGGGAGATTTCAGCGTGCAGAGTCCCGAAGCGTAGGGCAAACAGGTACATTCTCTGCTGTGAAATTAAATCCTAAGGGGTGAGGAGGTGCAAATTTCCCTGGTGGAATATAAGTGCAAAGAACAAAGGCTTTTTTTTCACATTGTAGTATACTGGATATTGCAGTTGTTGATTTTGAGGGTTCTCATGATTCCACCATGGTTTGTCATAAGGATTAGACTCAYTTAACACAGTTGCTTGGTCTGGTCTATTGTACCATTAAATCACAGCACTTCTAAGTAAAATTCACTGCGTATGTTCTGTTTTAAATAATTATGTATTTTTAGAGGTTATATATTGTATTTTCATCCTATATACTAAATGCATGAGACTGCTGTGTACATATAGCATGTATGTGTACTTATTTATGTTCTTTATTGAATTCTATGATTAAATGTGAATTTTGTAAATAAAACTTTTCGTTTTGAAATCTAAAGTGTAAATATAGATAGAAAAAAAAAATATATAAAGGTGGTACCTTTTGGTTTCCCTTAAGTGAATTCTCAGCCACTCCTGCTGCTTGCTCCAAGAATGACAATATATGTAGTTTTGGAATTGATTTTTTTTTTCCTTCTTCCAAAACCTGTAGAAGCATAGAAACCTATAGAAATGGATTCAATTCTGCCTGATAGATTACAAAATCAGTACTTAACAATATTCTTGATAGAGATTTGTTATTCAGGGTGATGGACGTATAAGAAAGACTGTCTTATAATACATGTAATTCTGTGTATTTACTTGTAAAGGGAGGCGATGGGATGAACGAAATTTAGAGGGACAAAGTGCATGTGAAATATAGAGAGTACTGTTTCTTTCTGGGGTGAAATTACACCTTAGCTCTCTTTTTTATTTTTATTTTTTTTTTTTCTCGGAATGTTACTGTAGTTAAAGTGTCAGATACATGYGGGAGAGCTCTGTTTGCTTTATATGCATTTACTTAGGATGCGCGCTTGCTTTTAGGTTCACCAAAAATCTGTCGCCTGACAAGATCAACCTGAGCACATTAAAAGGGGAAGGTCAGTTGACCAACCTGGAGCTGGATCAAGAGGTGCTTCAGAACATGCTGGATCTACCAACGTGGCTGGCTATAAACAAGGTCTTCTGCAATAAAGCATCTATTAGGGTGAGCATTTTATTATGCAGGGATGGTAATTAAGCAAAACTTTCTCTTTTTTCTTTTGTCTCTATCAACTTTCAAGCTGTATGGTTTGATTAGAAATTGTGATGAATACTTAGAATTTCAGAGAGAAAAACAAAGATCAGCAGTAATTGTGTCTTAATTTCCCTCCCTATTTAAAATGGGGAGGACAGAGGGCATGAAATGTGTACAGAGACAAGAAGTTGTTCTCTCCTTTTTGAGTAAATTTCATCATGTACATTTTAAAGTAGTGGTAGAGATAAAAACTTATACTAAATAATAAGAGACTGTACTTACCATGGGCAAAAAATATGCTTTATATGTGCTATTCCTTCTCTTTCCCTTCCATTTCCATTTTTTTGGAAGGATTTTGCTCTCTGTAGAAAATATGGAAACACTYTATTTAACAGACATTGAATTTTTTAGTCCTTATGGCTGCTAAGAGATGAAGCAACGTACGTTGTCTACACTTTTAGATTATACTAGTGTAAGTAGAAAATGAAGCTATGACTTGTCTTTTTCACTGAAGCTGTGACCTGGTCAGGATTTGGTGGTTCTTCAGGCTTTTTTTTCTTTTTTTGAACTCAGTGAACATTCTGAACACGATGCTGTGTTATAGACATCGAGTGATTCATAGGCTGACAGTGCAAATGTGGATTTCCTTTCCTTTTAAAGGAAGGAATGTGGAGGACAACATTGCYTTTCTTGTTGTTTGACAACTTGGTATTAAAGAGACAGATTCTATTTTGTCTCTCTGTGTTTTCCTTTCAATGATATGTGGGTTCATAATTTTCTTTTAGGTGTCAAAAATAGTAGTGTATCTGCCTAAGTTTATTATTCAGTATTTTCAGAAAAACCWGACATTTAGAAAGTAATATACTAATTTGATCACAGGAGTTGTAACTATACATAGCTAAAACACATTATAATAAAGTACTTTAAAATTATGYTTTCTCTTGCAGATACCATGGACAAAATTGAAAACACTTCCCATCTCTTTGGTGAGTTCTGAAAGAAACTCCTAAATAGCTCTGTGCAGGAGAATTCATCTCAGTTATTTATATAGTTTCCTTGAGCTGACTTAGAAATAATTTAAGTATTCACAGGCCCTATACTAAGCTCCCTCTCTGTAGCAGATCAACATAAAACACTTCAGTGTCTCAGGTAATWAGTTTATTTTTACTGTCTATGGCTTTGGGTCTAATCATCGTAATTTTTTACTGTCTAAATGATCTCTATCAAAACCAAAAAACTTCAATCGTTACGTTGCTTTACGTGGCAGGTAGTTATTTCTCCACCTAGTGCTGTCACAAGTTCCTGCCTATCTTTTCAAACTATCACTTAAAAGGCTTTTTATATTTTACCTCTCTACCCACCTGGTCATCCCAACTCTGGCAGATCTGACAAGTCACATCCACACGGTTTCTGAAGGAGCTCAAGAGTTCACCTTGGCTGTAAATTGGATGCAAAAGACATAAATAAGAGTCAGCACCACTGGACTAAATGATGATTTGGCCTTTTGTTTGTTTGCTTGCTTTGTTTTACCCCCTTTTTTTTTTTTTAAAGAAATATACCAAGAAATGTGGGAGCACAGGAAATAATTTGCTTGAGCTCAATAAACCTTCTTAAAGATATTTTCTTAAGTAATTAATACTCTTTTAATTYAGATGCTTCCCAAACTCACTATGAATACTTGAATGTGTAATTCTGCATCAAACTTGGAAAATCTGTTGTTTTAATCCTTGAGGCATTTGATAGTGGTCCCTCACTTGCACCACTGTTTTCCAGACGCACAGAGCTTAAAGGGGGGTAGTGCTCAAGGGGGATGGTGGAACCTTTTGACCAGATGATGTAACTGCCAAGTTAGGAAATCTCTTTAAGCTCTGCTGTTCTTATAGATTATACACTTGTCTTGCCATAGCAAGGCCCTACTATTTGCTTGGCTTGCAGTGAAATTAGTAAGCAATCTTTGAGGCTAAGATAACACAGAAGGTCACCTTTGTACTACAAAAGCTGTCCTTGAACCTGTGTGTTAAATGGAAATTGATAACCAAAGATCAYTGTTTAATGGTTTAAGAGCCTTTGACTTCTAAAGGAAGGGGAATTTAAAGGATTAAATGTCCAGCTTCAGCCCTTCATTAYATCACATTAGTGGGGCTATTTTTACAGCTGAGAGTTTGACTAAATTTTAAGTAGCCTTATATACCTGGCATCTTCTATTTGCATAGCTGAGAAGGTAGCTAGGACGTGGTTGTCTCGTGAGAGGTACTTTTTCTTGGAAAGGAGTATTTCTTTATGTTTTAAAGAAAGAAATCTTTCAATATAGTGACCAATAGTAAATACTGTTACCTTTGCTTGTAACCAATCACTCCTTTTCTGCATGATAAACAACCTAATTTTGAAGAGGGCTGCTAGACAGCAGTTTTTTCSTCTATCAAAATAGAAGTAATTACCAATGAGGAAAGGGAGAAAGGATAGGTAGATCTGCATCTGGATGTCTTTACCTAACTTTTATTTATATTGCATGAATTCCTTAATCACAGAATCATTCCCTTAAGCTTCTTCTGTGAAGGCCTGTTTTGTGTAGGGAAAAAAAAAAGTAAAAACAACATTAAATTATACTAGAAAATTTATTTATAAAAATTACTTCCTCTATTTGGTCTACTCAAGGTCTGTATAACCAATTTTTATTCATTTTCAGATTTTGTTTAAAGATACAGCACAAAACTTTAATTACTGATTTTAATTTGAATGGACTAGTTTCAGATACTTTCCACTAAAATTTTTCAGAACACACTGAACTATTTAGAAAATTCAGGAATAAGCATAAAACAGATAAGAATACATTATTTCTTGTCCTTTTCAAAATGCAATTTTTGAAGAAGTGTATGGCATGTAAATAACAGCTAGAGGTCAAGAATTCTGCAAYCTAGGATTGGGAACATCTGTTAAAATTCACTAACAAATTTTTAAAATCATAATTGATATATTCTACAAAAACTAGTGGAAAAAATCTATACTCAGAAATATTTTATAAATATGTTTTACATTGTTTTTAAGAGACTAAATACATATTATATCATCTCTTACATGTCCAAATTTTTGTTTTGCTTTGTTTTGCAAGTCCTTGGATAAAGTTGTAATGGAAATGAGTACATGTGAAGAGCCTCGTGCCCCTAATGGACCCTCTCCTATAGCAACTGCATCAGGACAAAGGTCAGGGATACTGCTTGTATAGATGCWTGATTCATAATTTTTAAATCACTTTTTTTTTTCTAGAATACATACTATAAAACAGTTGGGTCTCCATTTCTTGTAGTATATAGGGTCACACCTTGTCATTTCAAACTCTTGAAATTAGTTGATAACTTTTAGGTGTTAACATAGGTATGCTGATGGATGGGAATGTTTGATTTCAGACCTCATCTATGGATTGCGAATCATTGCCATAGGGATTCTGTGTTACAAGATGAAAGATATAAAAAGGAAAAGGAATAACAAACCACATAAAATGTCCTTCTAAAAGGAGGAAAAAAAAGCCCTCCAGTGGAAGAAATGTTAGATATTAAAAGAATTGTTAACATACAGTTTCTCTTTCACTAATCTAAAGCATTCTAAATGCAAAAGATTTTTTTAAAGCTAGATGTAACTGCCTTATCTTTTTAAATGCTTTGTAYGTTGATACAATACATAAATGCAACCATTTGTGAGGACTTTCTTTTTTAGAAAGAAATAAAGCAGCTACTTCAGTTTGCATACTTTGCATATATAAAATTTATTATAGTTTTAACAGACGTAACTTTGCTCAGAGTGTTTAGCAAGATTGGAATTGCAATGCAGTCAAGTCATGTATTTGACATAAATCACTCCTTAAGTATAAGCCTAAAGAGGAGTGAGATTTCTACATAGTAGTGTAGACTGCTTTTAGACATATATTGTGCTAAGTGACATTAATTGTGAACATGATTGTGGCATCAATCTCCATGAAGTGTAACAATATATGAATTAGAAACTATATCCAGTATATTTAACAAAAATGACAATTAGGAATTGCAAATTGTGTAATCTGTTTCATGTTGTATTTAAATTGGTAAATATGAGTAATTTTGTGCCCTTTTATTAGATCTATATTTTATATGTTGGCATTTCACCTTCCAGTGAATATGGCTTTGCTGAAAAAGTGGTAGAAGGAATTTCGGTTTCTGTGAATTCCATTATAATAAGGATTGGCGCAAAAGCCTTTAATGCCTCATTTGAACTTTCCCAGCTGAGAATATATAGTGTAAATGCAAATTGGGAACATGCTGACCTGAGATTTACCAGAATACAAGAAGCTCAACGTGGAGAGGTAACTATTTCCTTCATTATTTTTGTAATATGGGAGGAGGTAATTGAATCACAGCCTTCTGCAGTCTAGAAAACATGTTGTTATTGGGAAGATATTCTGCAGTCATTTCAGCCTTCCTCTAGAAACATGAGGATGTAAAAACAGGGGGKTTGAGTCATATCAAAGGTCTGTTTTGACAGTGGCCAAAGTGGATGCTGAGGGAAAAGCAAAGATCCGGGGGCAACTATGTGTAATGTTCACTGTTAAGTTCTCTAAGCCCTTTTCTACAGCCATTTTTAAATAAAAGACACCAAAAGAAAAAAAGAATGGGATATTAAATGAAAGAAAAAATGATGGAATATTAAATGTGGGGAAAAAAAGGTGTGCTTTAGCACATTTCCCTTCCCCCGCCAAAAAAATACCTTTCATTGGTTATCTATTTGCTTATGAGAGTTTTCCTAATTAGAATGTTCTTTAAGTAGTTTTAAGTGATTGTTAACACAGCTGCAAAATAAATATTTTTCTTTAAATAATTAGGTCGTACATATGTAGAATGACAACTGAGTACAGTTTTTCCAGAAAGCAGCAAAGTAATATTAAAGTCCAGCACTGATGCACACTATTCTACGGTTTTCTCCCACTTAAGCACAATAAATGTGAACTAAGTTCAAAATTGTTTCTGAATGTTGCCTGTTTTATTGAAAATACCTTTTGTTTTAGTGTGAGAGGTAGATGTTTTAAATATTGACTATGTTTTGTTTATTTAGAATCGGTTTTCCCAAGCAGAGTTTATTCAGAGTGCAGGAAACCAGTAGGTGCTTCCCAGAAGCACTACATCCCAGAAGAAGCCCAAAGAGAACTTCATAATTAAAAATTTTGTAAAAATAATGAAAGTTCAAAACTGTTTTCCTTACAGTTTGCATTCTCTCTTTTGTGCAGCTTATTTCTAGTCATGCTTGTATGTTAATGAAGGCTAAGGATAAAGAGTTAGAAGTTTGACCAGATGGAGTTTYATATTGCTGCATTTTATTTTTAATTTACAGTTTTAAACAGAGTTTGTTTCTGAAGAGTCTCCCCCTATGCAACAGTGCTATCCTTGAGGATTGTTCCTGTTAATGTAGTAAACTCCAAAACACAAATTTGAAGGGACTCTGGCAAAATGATATGACAGTGATTAACATTAATAATAAATGGTGAAATAATAAGCCTGACAATACTGTAAAAGCAATTTTTGCTAAACAGCATCTTAAGGAGCTAAGTGATGTAAGGTTTGCATTGTAGCTGTGTTCTTAATGTAATGAAGAATCTCCTGAGAAATTTTTGGAGCTTCCGTTCACACTGCATCTCCTGCGTGAGGAGACTGTGTACTCTGCTTTCTRCAGAACCACCGGAGAGCTGGGCTTGTCCGGGAGCTCTGGACATCTAGTCCCAACTCCTGCTCAAGCTCAGGTCACCTGAGCACATTGCCCATGTCCGTGTCCAGGCAGCATTTGCACATCTCCAAGGCTGGAGGCTCCACAACCTCTCTGAGGAGCCTGGTCAGTTCAGCCACCCGCACAGGGAAGACTGACTTGTTCACATGGAACTTCCTGTGTTCCAGTCGGTGCCGTTTCCTGTTGTCCTGCTGCTGGGCACTGCTGAAAGGAGTCTGGGCCCTTCCTTTTGACACACCCTCCCATTAGATATTTATAAACATTGATAAAACTCCCCTGAACCTTCTCTTCCCTAGGTTAAGCAGTTCCAGTTCTCCCAGCTTCTCCTCATATGTGCCTATCCCTTAATCATCTTTGTGGCCCTCCCTGGGCTTGTTCCTGGAAATTCATTCCTCTCTTGTGCTGAGGGAGCCCAGAACAGGACACAGATTTCTCCACAGCTAGTATTTCTCGGACCACTTTGCACTCTGCCTTCTTCCTTGCCAGACACAGCTGGAGTGGTCTGCTCCATTCTCGTCTTGTTTTCCCAGGACACCACTCCAAGGTTTGCAACATGAGAGGAGAATGACATCTGAGAAATAGATACATATACCAAACAGATTCTCTCCTTTTACTCTTTTCCCCAGCTGATTTTTTTCCTACAGATTATTAATGTAGAAAGGAATTTCAGGGAAACTAGAATTAATACTCCTTTTTTTCTTCTTGATGCTCTGTTCATTTGATGTCTTCCTCAATGATGCTGTTGAACTTTTAAAGACTTTCCTGTAGCCACATCTAGAAGCGCATCTTACGATTTTAAACCGTCTGCATGGCATACAACATATATAGTGTTTAATTTTAATTAATCTTAATTAAAAGAGGATACTTCACTTCGTCCCTTCCCTTTCTGGTATTTTTCCTTTYCTCCTAAGCCCGTTCATATATACTAGGATTTAGTATTTTGAAAACACACAGAAACATCTATATTTCTCCTCTACTAAATAATACGCAAGAAGTGCCCTTTATTTTCTTCTTAAKATTTTATAGAAAGTGGAAGTTATAAAAATAAATTAATATGTGAAACACTGCCCTTATTTTGCAAGTAACTGTGCTGCTAATTATCTCTGCCTGCTGGGAACTTGCCTTCTGTTTCTGTGACCTACTGAAGAGCAGCATCAGGGCTTTAATTCCTGATGCCTGCTAGGCAAAATGCACAAATAATGTCCTCAGAGCACACACCTGCATACATACATGCCTGCTTGCATATGTGCATATGTGCAGTAAACTGACAGATTGCATAGTGTTTTTCCCCCTCTGTCTTTTTAAAGGTTTTGACTTTCAAAGAAATCAACTGGCAGATGATCAGAATAGAGGCAGACGCAATCCAGAGCTCTAAGCATGAGCTCATGAGCGCTCCCGTTCGACTCATTACCAACCAATCAAAAATCCGGGTCACGCTTAAACGGAGGGTAAACTTGGAAATTTTTGGAGTATTTTATTATTTTATGAATTTACATTTAGCATGTGTTCTGTGTGTATGTGTATACATTGTAAAGGTTTTAAGATTAGGACATGTGAAATTTAGAATTCCCTAAACTAAATTTTGATAAATAGTCACTAAGATTGTAGAAATATTGGAATAAATATTTTGAACTTCTTCCACAAGTCAGTTTACCCAGGGATCTTTATTTATGACGACATTTATTGTATTGCCTCACTAATTTCAAACAGCATTTTTATTGCTTATAATTAAATTAATTTTTCAGTTTAATAGCCAATGCACTGTGCACAAGTGAAAATTAAGACACAATAATAGATGCTATGGTRCATTTTAAGCGTTTTTGTCAGTAAGAGGAATGGAACTTAAAATGTACTTGTTAATATTTACTTATGTGTTTATATGTGAAAAATTTTTATGAATTTAGTGTAAGAAATAAGTATTTAGATTTCCATTTAACTTGTCTATTTTTTTATCCTACAGTTAAAGGATTGTAACGTAGTGGCATCAAAACTGGTTCTGATTCTGGATGATTTGCTCTGGGTTTTGACGGATTCGCAGCTGAAAGCCATGGTGCAGTATGCCAAATCTCTTAGCGAAGCCATAGAGAAGTCAACTGAACAGAGGAAAAGCTTGGCTTCTGAAACGACACAGGTAGGATAATTAATTGCAACACATTGTTATAAAATGTAGCTATTGTAAAATACAACACAGTATATTTTGTGTGTGTGTATATTTAGCTTTAGGTGAACTAGGGAAAGTTACCTAAGTCATCTTTGGAGTGTATATCTTAAAACACTCCAGGAATGAATAAGAGTAGCTTAAAAGAGTTTATTTTASAGGATTGGTCAGTTACAGAGAAGAAAAAGTTGTATTTCTTTACCCATGTATAGCATATTTAGACTTCTTCGTCTGTTTTAACACTTTGACAATTGATTAATAGTTTAGTAAATCCACTTGAATTTGCTCTCAACTTCGTCTGGTTGGGAGTTTTAAAGTAAATTTAAGAAAGACGGGAAGTTACCTTCATATGTGGATAAATGCAACTAGTGTAATATTTTAAAATGCTTATCTAGTTTTAGTTTTTATGGTTCTGAAAAATTAAGAGGAGCTTTCCTTTTTGTAGCTCTCTCATTGGAATATGTAGTGAAAATACTTGTACTTTTCACCTATGTCTGCTGGCATAGATATTATATTGATACTTCATGTAAGATATTCCTTTGTCTAAATCTCTGTTTCCTTTAAGCACATATGCCAGACTGGGCTTTGTTTGTGAGGATTTTTTGGGGGAGGGATCTTGTGTACGAATAAGCAGGACAAATGCACTGATAAAAGAGAGCCTTATTAAAAAATAAATAAATTAATAACACAAGAGAACAAAGCCTAATTTATTACTGTGTCTGACTAARTGAAGACATCTGTGTGGAATCTTTKGCAGCAGAGCTAGGGTACTGTAATGGAGAGCTCATTTCTTGTGCTCGCAGTGACTTGGTGGGGTGATGTCACAGATCAATTAAAGCTATTTAATTAGCTTTTACTGAGCAGGGTGGTCCTGAATCTTCCGCTCCCTCTCCTTTTATCTCAGCAATTCCTGGATGCTGGCTCAGGCTCACATCTGGCCCACACCAATGCAGTTTGGGGAACTAAACTGGCAGAAATTAGCCTAGCAAAAAAGAAAAAAAAGAAAAAAAAACAAACAAAAAAAATTTTTTTTTCATCCAGTTTAGTTCCCTAAAGAACTTGCAAAAACACTAAGAGAAATCTCAGTGCTGCAAGTGACAGGGTAGAGATAAGTATAGGAGGTAGGAAAGCTGGAGGATGGAGCAGGGTTGCATCGTCGTGAAATGCAGGTATCAGCAYACCTTAGTTGTGCTGTTAAACAGCGCTGATAAATGATGCAAGGTGAATACCAATACACAGTATGCTTTTTTTTTTTTTGATTTGAAAGATCTCTTTTGAGTAAATAAAAGCATACTTGAGAAAGGATCAACTTCTGTGAAGTGATGTGACTAAATATTTTCAGAGCTCTGCCCCTGCACCCAGCTCTCAGCAGGTGAAAGCACACCAGGCAGCGGCAGCACCCGATCAGAATGATGCCATTGTGAAGCTGTTCAATGATTATGATGTTAAGGAGACTTCTCATCATTTAGTAATTTCCCATTTGGACCTACATATTTGTGATGATATCCATTCTAAAGAGAAAGGTAAATATTTTCTGTGTGTGTTTTAATGTATCTGTGCTACATAATCTTCTTTAAAAAACATTTTGAGGAACCTATTAATGTTAATGAAACTTCTTTTTTTTTATTATTCTAGAATAATATTCAGATTTGTCTTCTTGAATTTCTAGGCATACCTCAGTGAGCACTCCTGTTTGTTGTTCTGCAATCATTCTGGAATAAATACAACCTGATGATAGTAGCCTCAGTACTTTTTCTACCTTCTAGAAAGCGATTCTCTCCATTTGGACTGCTACTCATGTTTTATTTTATGAACTAACTAGGTTATGAGAAATGTAGTGGCAACATTGCTGTGGCTTGAAATGTACAAACATCATCTGTAGTACCCAAATAGTTTGGGCTCATAAAAGTGCAGTCCTCTTTTATTAATGGTTAATTTAGAACATATTTGAGTCTCTCCAGCAAATTGAAAGAATCAAACAAGTTTTCCAAAGTCTTACAGTTTTGCCTGCTTGTTTTTAATGAGAGATATTTGCCATTGGGGGAAAAAAAAGAAGACAAATGACATTTTGGTTTAGCCCTGTATACTCTAGGAACTGAGAAATGTGAAAATGTGTGGCAGATTACAAGTGTGTACAAGTCTGCTGAGAAGGAATGAGTGAAGAACATAAGACTTGGTGAATGTACTTCCCTTTACAGAAGATGCTTGACCCCAAAGYATGAAACCTACTACATAAAGATATCTTTTTTTTGTATGTGTGTGTAATATTTCTACTGAAATAGAGAGTTATAGTGCCTAGTGAGACCTCTRTTTTAACCTGGTATTTTTGGCCATGAAGATTAAATTTAGTAGTTGAAAAAAATGAGAATTGGGGAGTCTCAGAAGCCCTCTTTACTGAAATAATATTTGACAAATAAGAAATCAAGGAAATCAATATATATTTGCAATGTTCTTGAAAGTAACTTTCCTGGTTTTGAATGACTGATCATGATCATATATTCAGTACAAAAAGTTCTATTGCAGAAAATTTGCAGTAATTGGTCTACAAAGAATTGTTCTTATTTTTCAGTAGCAACAGTGGCCAATTTGCTACTAGTGACTGATCACAGACCACAGAGTTCTACAGGATGGTCCTTGGAGACCTGCAAGGCTTTCTGAGTGAAAATTTTGAGGGAAGAGATTGAGATTGTGAGAAGAGCTGGTAGAGAGGAGGAAGATATTTTGGACATTCCAAGGAAAGCGCGAATGCAAGAACTTATGTTTTAAATACAGTATGTGCAGAGCTGAGCTTTATTTTATTTTACAGACTCAAATAGACGTGTTACAGGAGGGGCCATGCAGCTTTCCTTCAGCTATTTAACAGTGGACTATTATCCATTTCACAAAGCAGGTATGAAAGTGAGTGCTTCACAATTATCTGTAAGCATGTATGTTGCTTAATTTCTAAATTTATTTACATATTTATGATTAGGGCTTGCATAATCACATAATTGTTTACATAYTTATCACATCAGAATTCAGTGTTGGTGGGAAAGGCAGTGTACATCAGATTGTGAGTGCTCTAGATTTTTGCCAGAGAGTTATCTGTTATCTGTGTAGCCTTTCGCAAAGATTTAGGTAACTACAATTAAACATTTTTTGCAAATCATTAGCAGTAAATGTATTTTTCAGAAAACTCATTATAGTCATTATGAGATCATAAGGCCATAATAACATTTTTTTGCACCTTAAAAATGTGTTACAATTTAGCGTAGTTCAGATAGCATATTCTCATATACAGCTGTGTATATTTAAGAGTAGCAGTATTCTTACCTGCTATAGACTGGTGGTGATTTGATCTATGTCATGTTGGCTTCTGTTCCTATAAAGGTGGACCCAAAGTTAGTTGTATTTTAACATAGGCCTATCWTGTGACCCAGCTATATGTCCCACATACTGACACTTCTGCTTCTCTAGGTGAGAGGCTGATCTGACTTTTTTTTTTTTTTTTTTCCCTATGAGCTCTCCTCTGAGAAGGCATAGAGAGCAAAGAAAATAATAAGTAAACCCAAAATTGTTCATTTTGGAAGGATTCTAACACATAGTATGTGACCCAGATAGAAAATTTAGGAATTTTGAAGAACTCATTTGGCCAGTCTCAGCAAGATTGAAGTAAGCACTGCAGGCACTCTAGAAGCTCACTGAAGACGTTCCTAGGTAATGGCTATGTGGGACATGAGTCCTGATGCATGAAACCCGAGCTAGCAAAGATCATTTGCAGAGCAAAGATAATCTCTCTAAAGATAGTGTTTTCCTGCAATTTTAAAAGATGTTCTATACAGATATATTTGACTAAAAGAGCTCAAGTTCTCATTAATAAGTTACAAGAAGAATCTGCCAAAGGTCTTCATCTTTGGCCAAATAAAGTGGGGAGGAACATGCTGCATAGTTTCTTCCTCTACTGAAAGAAGCTGCTGTCTTATCACTGTTGCAGAGCAGTGTGGTAATTCTGTGGGCAAACCATCATCACAGGAGAGGGACTTCACCTGAGTGGCACATACTTGTCTTGGGTGTTCAAAGGTAGTGATCTATCCGTGTAGCTGTCTTGGTTATGTACACTGCTGAATCTGCAACGATGAACTGAAAAGAAAACATTGTTCCCTGTAAGCAAAGGCTAAGCAATGGACAATACCATGTTCATTCTTTACAACAGTGGGAAGAAAGAGCTTTGCACCGATGAGATTGTTATTAAACTCTTTTTTAGTTTTGCACCTCTCTGGCCTGTGTAATGTTTAGAAATGTCTTTTTGGTCACTGACTTCCTGGGAATTGCAACTAGCTCTTCAAGAAGAAAAGCTCTCAACAATCATTTCTGCAGATGGGATTCCTAGCAGATCCTTTTTTTTGTTTTTAGTGATAGATGCCAGTAGGAGCTCTAATGGAACTCTGACACACAATTCCTGTAGGATATATTTCTAATTCATTCAACTTCAATCCTTTCAACAATATCTRTGATTTATAATACTCTTAAGAAAAGTGAAGCAGGATGTGGGTCTGTTAACTGTGATATCCCAGCATAAGCCAGACAGTTCAGGTTCTTGGATGTTGTAAATCTGTCTGTACAGCAACCCATCACATTACTAATCTTCCCAAATGTGCTGCCACGGAAACTTTTATCCAGATGCGTTTTTTGTGTAGCTTATTATTGTTGCTGAATGATGATCAGAGAAAGCAGCTGTATCATTGGGAAGTGATATAGGATGTTTTGCAGCACAGGAAGTTCTTGACCAAGCTGATATATTGAGACAAATGGGAAGCATTTTCCATCTGGGAAACCTGTAACAAATTTATTTGGCTTCATTTGTGTTTTCTGTGGCATTCTGATCTCCCTTTTCACTTTGCCCAGGACAATATATCTCTGYATACAGAATCAATTGAGATTGGAAGGGACCTATGGAGATTGTCTCGTCCAACAGACCAGAACCTTGTACTTAGAATCACCTCTAGTCAAATTTTGAATATCTCCATGGAGAAATACTCCAAAATATCTCTGAGCAATCTGTTCCAATGTTTGATTATCCTTACAGCAAAATCGCTGCTGCTTAGGTTTAAGTGGAATTTCCTGTATTTCAGTGTCAGTGCTCCCTGCCTCTTGCCCCATCCCTGGGCACCATTGAGAAGAGCCTTTCTTGTCATCTTTACATCATCCAATCTGACATAAACAGTGGTTAAGATCCACTGAGCCTTCTCGTCTCTACATTGAACAATACCCTCATGTATTGCTGTGATAGATGCTCCAATCTCATAATCGTCTTCATGGCTGTTCAGTGGACTCGCTCCGGTGCGTCCATGTCTCTCTCCTACTGGGGAACACTGAACACAGCATTCCCAGTGTGGTCTTAACCGGGATTGAATAGGGAGGAAGGATCATCTCCTTTGAGCTACTGCCTGAAGCAGTCCAGGATGCAGCTGGGCTTTGCCACCACATGGCTTTTTCATGGTCAACGTGGTGTCCACCAGGATCCCCAGGTCTTTTTTTTTCTGCAAATCTGCTTCCCGGATGGTCAGCATGTGTCGGTGAATAGAMTTATGGACTCTCTTGGTGCAAGACTTTACATGCCCCTTTGCTGAACCTCATGAGGTTCCGCTTTGCCCATTTCTGCAGTCTGGATGAAGGAACAGCGTGCACCGTCACAAAGTTTGCAGATGATACAGAACTGGGAGAGGAGGTTGATTCAACAGATGGTTGGGATGACAGCCAGTATGCAGCCCAGTTCTACATGATCTGCCAGTGTGCTACGGTGTGTTCTGTCCCTTCGTCTGGGTCACTGATAAAGATAAGTTGGCTTCAGTATCGACCCATGGGGTCCACCACTAATAACCATCTTCCAAGTGGACTTKGCACTGCTGAGCACAACTGTTTGAGCCTGAAAGTTCACCCAGTGTCCAGGTCACTTTGCTGTCTACTCATCTAGTCCCTATTTCCTCTTTTTGTCTACGAGGATGTTAGCGTGCTGAAAGCCAATTTGTAGTTTAAATAAAYAGCTTCTTCCCCCACTGCTTCCCCTTTTTCCACCAAGTCAGCCATCTTCAGTTTAGAAGGCTATCAGGTTGGTCAAGCRTGGTTTCCCATTCATAAACCTATGATGACCTCTCCCACTCACCTTCTTATCCTTAATATTTGCTCTATCACCTTCCTAGGGATCAAGGTGAGATCGATGGGCTTGTGCTTCCCCGGATTTCCTTTCTTGTCCTTCCTGAAGATAGAAGTGACAGTTGCTTTTTCCAAAGTTCTCAGGAACCCCTCCCAGTCAGTGTGACCTTTCAAAGATAACCAAGAGTGGCCCTGTAAAGACATGGGCCCCTCTCCTCAGCACTTATTGGTGCATCCCATCAGGGCCTGTGGATTTCTGTGTGTCCAATCCTTGCAAATGCTCCCTGAGTTGATGCTCCTCTACTGAGAATAAGTTTTCCTTGACCCCAGACTTTYTCATGAAAGAAGACTGAGATTCACAGACACACAGAATAGCTGAGGCTTGAAGGAACCTGTGGAGATCATCTAGTCCAACCTTCCCACTCAGTCAGGGACACTTAGAGCATGTTGCTAGGACCACGTCCAGACAACTTCTGAATATCTCCAAGGATGGAGATTCCACGGCCTCTCTGGGAATCCTGTTCCAGTWCTCTGTCAGAATTTCCGTGTTTCAGCGTATGCCTGTTGTCTCATCTCCTGCACCGAGCACCACTGAAGAGTCTTGCTGCATTCTTTCAGGATCCTGAACTCCACTGTTTTGTGTGACTGCAGCCAAGGCTGCCAATGACATTCATGTGTCCAACCCTGCTATTCCCCGTTTGTCAGAAACAGATCCAGCAGAGCTTTTCTTTTGGTTGGCTCCTTTATCTCCTGCTATCAGTTGTCATCCCTATACTCCAGAGACCTGGATTGCTTGTGCCTGCTGTATTGCTCCTTCCATAGGTGCCAGGGTGATTCAAACTCCCCAGGAGTACCTGGGTCATGTAAAAGTTAGGCTTCTTCCCTGAAGAGCCTGAAGGTGAGGCTCTTCAGCCTGAGGGTCTGAAGAAGATATTGCCTTCTTGATCAGACAATCTGCAGCAGACACCAACTCCAACATCCTCCATGTTGGTTTACTGATCCTAATCAGCAAATCCTGATTCTGACCAGAAATCCTGACTCCTAAGCGCTCATCTGGCTCATGCTTCCCAAGGCAGAGCTCCAGGCATTCCCACCTCCGTCTCACATATGGGACAATTCCCCGTTCCTGCCTCCCTGGCCTGTCTTTCCTAAAGAGCATGCATTACATCACTCCTGTCATATCAATCTCCCACCATGTCCCCATGGTCTCAATGTTATTGTAGATGCCCAGACCTCTGATTCCTCCTATTAGTTCCCAAGGCTGTATGCATTAGTTTACAGGCACTTCAGAGAGGCAACCAATTACATTGTCTTCTCATAACTTTTGCAGTAGTCTTTTCTTGTAGGCACTTCTTTATTTATAAGCATATGCTTGGGGTGATTCCAGATGTGKTTTTTTGGTTTTTTTTTTTACTTACCAGGTCCATTCTCTTCATACTAGCCTACACCTGCCAGGCCCACTACTTCCTTGATTGATGGTCACACATCATGCTCCTRCATTCTCTTTCATATATTCTAGTTCAATTTTCTTACCCTATTGGCCAACCTGATGGCAAAGATGTGTTTGTGCCGCAGGTGAATCCCATYTCTTCTAAGCAGTCTTTCATCCTCAAAGAAAGAGTGTCCTGTGTTCATAGAAACCAACATCTTGTTGCGGGTACCTGTTGTGCAGCCTGGTGGTTTGTTCATCTGCAGAAACTACTCTCTCCTCAAGYCCTGCAGTCTCACCAGCAGGACTGAAGAGAAGGGCCACCTGGCCCTTTGTGCCTCTGARCATTGCCCTACAGTCCTCTGATAAAAGAATGAAATGCTTTTTCATGCTTGGTTTTCTTTTGGAAGTTCCATTATATATTTTATTTGATATATTGGTTGAGAAAACGCCAGCTTTAAGGGACCTGAATCTAATGCATGAGTCCCTGCTTGCARTCCTTCCTTTTTTCTTCCCTACTCACTTTTAATCTCAGTTAAGGGGACAGAAATGACCAGCAGCACAGCTATCAGGCAAGAGGATGGAAGAAGTGTCATCTCATGTGGTAGCCCCCTTCCTTACAAAGTTTTCTRTGCTGAAATTTTTGAATTTAGACTTGAAATCAGATTTTTCCCCCAGACATTTTACTATTTTATTGTGCACTGTATCTCATCATTTCCAGTGTCACTTTCTGAACCTTAATTAAATCCCAAATTAAGTAAGCTCTTATATGCTGATGTTTAAAAACCAAGGTACTTTTTAATACARTGTTATTTGCATTGTGTCCATTTTTATTGAACAGGTTAGCAGATCATCTTTACAAGGATCGTTTGAAAAGAGCTTAGATTCTTTCAAAACTTTAAATACTYTAACACCCTAAAGATGTTATGGATCAACAACTTTAAACTAGCCTTGATTTTTCAGCCCAAGGACAGTGGCATTGACTAAACTTATTGGTATATCATGAAGGTCATAGAAAGCTGAGACAAAATGAGTATGTTTCTGAAAAGGGAACAGGAACTTCTTGAGAAACATTCTGGCAAGGAAAGAAAAGTTTGGAAGCAGCATGGAAACTGCCTTCTGTTATTTGCTCCTACTTTTTGCTCCTACTTTTTTTTTTCTTTCTGGCAAACAGAATTCTTGCATGTTCTCTTATATCAAACAAATGTATCATGACATTTCTCCTAACTGGAAATATACAAAGAGTTTTTAAAGGCAGGTGGCAATATTATGTTGTTTTCAGTAGTGAACTCGTGATGCAGTGTAACTTATGCTTATGTAATATACAACTTCTGTGATAATATCTGTTGTAAGTTCTGTTATTATGTAATTGCATTATAGCTAGAATAAAAACTGTAAAATACTGAAAACTAGTTTTCCACTCACAAGCAAACTTTCAAGTATGTTTTTCCCCTTATTCCTCCTCTTTGCAGGAGACAGTTGTGAGCACTGGATGCATTATAGTGATGCCACTAAAGCCAGAAGTGGATGGGCCAARGAATTACTAAATGAATTCAAAAACAATGTTGAATTGCTTAAGCAGGCTGTGAAGGATCAGGCTGTAGATTCTCCTCCCAAATCTCCACCTGCTTTATCTCCTGAAAACCTACCAACAGGTACTTTATTTGCATCATTAAAGCTCTGCTTTCGTGAAATATTAAAACTGTTCTGAAGACGACTGTTCGTTTCAATGATTCCATCACTATTCTTTCCTACAGGCAAGGAACAGATACCGAAAGGAACATCTAGGGCTTCCTCTGTATCTTCCCAACAACCAAAGGGCAAACTGATGTCTAGTCCTATTGTGCTTAGACTTGCAGATTTCAATATATATCAGGTACATTTCTTCTAGTTAGTACAACTGGGTCTACTTTGCCCTTGACTGTTGCGTAGCTGTGCTTTTTAAGGGGCAGATCCAAAGCCCACTGAAATTAATGGCAATCTTGCTATTTGTTATTGGATGAGAACTTTATGGGCCTGCTTCTCCTTTGTTRAAATCAATACATATTCTCTTGCTGACTTGATTAGGTAATACTCTATTGTAGTTATCTTTGGATTCAAGTTCTCCTGTTCCCCAAATTCTAACATTCAGACTTTATTTGTTAATTGTACTTAGGTTAGGTACCCAGTGTTTTAGTATATGGGTTTTTATTTCGTGCTTTTCTTATTGATACTCCTTTCAGAGTAYGCTGATTTCTTTTAAAAAGACACATTGAGGGGTTATCCTCTCCCCCCAGTGATATTTTGAGTGGATTTTTTTACCATCTTTTTTTTCTTTTTCATTTTTTTTCAATGAGTACTTGTAATATTCTTTGCAAAGAAAAGGCAACTGGATAAAGGAGGGGTATTCTCCGGTGCAGAATTTAAAGGATCTGCTATAAAGTTCAGATGCTAGAAAAAAAAGTGCTTATGCCCTTAGCCAGTATGTCTTTTATTTGTTCCTGCACCCATTTCCAATATTTTTCTTGCCATATCCTTTCTGGCAGAGTAGGAGATTGCAGCTTGCTGCCAGTTTTCAAGTGGTTTTATAATATCATTTTGTACTGTTAGTGTTTTAATTTGTTTAATTTGCCTTCTGTGCTTCTTTAGATGCCTGTCTCCTTCTCTCCCCATATAGCTACCTCTTCAGCTTTTTCTACCATAGTTAGCTTTGTACAGTATACAAACATTATTTTCTAAGTAGATCTATTTTCACTATTACTTTGTATTTTTGTGTGTCTTAATAAAGATGTATGCAATTTTAAAAACAGCTACATACTGTGAAGCAGGCTTATAAAGGGTATCTATTTATAATTTCCAACAAGACTATTTCAAAATAAAGTAGACATCATCATACACTTAATATTAAAAAATCTGCTAATTTGAAGATAGTAATCTGGCATACAAGGCATTGGATCAAGCAGCTTTGTTTTGGCAACGTACCTTCTAAACTAGAGTATATTCCAGGAAATCCAGAGTCAAGTATATTATATATCAAAAGATTATCTTTTTATTGCCTTGTAAATTACATTGGAAGGAAACAGAAATGGAGGATTACTGTTCTATATTGTCTTGCTTCTCCTGCCAAGTAGACATTGGCACGCAGCCAAATACTGAGGTTYATGCCAGGTGCATGTTGAACACTTGTTTAGCAGAATACAATCCCCATATCCTGGAACCTGACCATATGACAGGGCCAGGAGTCAGGCAAGGTATCTGGTAGCCTTATCGAACCATTACCTGACTGTGGGATCCTATCAGGTAGCCAGTGTGCAAATATACCCTGTTCGGGTATATTTGCTTATACAGGATACGTAGCGTTTGTAGGAAAAGTGTCCAGTCATTCTAGGCTTCTCCTGAGGGCCTTTGAAAGTCACCTGCTGCTTCCTGCCTCACATGAATGAAGGAGTTATGGTACCATTAATATTTTACAGTTTTCTTGTGAAACTCGTATATAGAGATTGCTTCTACTACAAGGCAACTAGATGCTTGTTGCTGCCTGTGCTTTGTGTAATTTGAGATCGATATGTGAGGGCAGTGCACTCTGTTACTCTACTAGGGGCAGTTCCTTGACAACTACAAACATTTAATGATTCACAAAAATATAYATTAATGAAATTGATCTCTTATCTTTTACAGGTCTCTACTGCCGACCAGTGTCGTTCTTCCCCTAAAACTCTGATCTCTTGCAATAAAAAGTCGCTTTATCTTCCGCCAGAAATGCCAGCTATTCATTTTGAATTCACTGAATATTACTACCCAGATGGAAAAGACTTTCCTAGTAAGATTTTTTTTTTGTATTGATGTTTAAATAATACTGACTCCAGGTTGACAACTGAAAATTGGTAATGACCAATTTTTAAAATGGAGTCACTGGAAAGAACAAAACATAGCTGCAATTCCAGGTTTTGCTCCTAGTAAACCCCTATAAATACTGATTCTAATAAATGCCGTGTTTTAAATATGAAAATACACATAAAATTTTTACTTAGACATAAAAAATACATTCTGCAATACGCAAGCATTTTTTTATGTGTTTTCAGTRTGTGGCTACTGAAAAGAAGTCCAACTACTGTATTATTAGTATTATCTAAGATGCCACAAAAGATCTGCCAGAGTTATTTTTGTCAATGTCTTATGGGGCTGTCCTTGTTTTATATAAAGAAATGTCAATGGATTTGCTGGGGATGGGACTTGAATACAGCAGCTCTCCTTGGCCCTGCCCTCCGTTTATAATGAGGACATACTCTCCTTGTCCTCCAACTCCATTATCTTTTAACATTGGCTTTTACATTCAAAAATGTAGTTAGTTATTTGACATGAGAGAAGGAAAGTAGYATCACTTCAGGCGTCTCCTGTTTGTTCTTTCCTGGGGATCAGACGAGTAGATTTTGATTTCATTTCTTATACAAAATATAGGTGCAAATGTAAGACTTGCATGCATTAAAAAAATAAAAAAGGTGAACCTTAAAGCTTTCATTTGTTCTCATGATTGTATTTTACTTTCTCTTTTAGTTCCAAGTCCAAATTTGTATGGTCAGCTGAATGCTTTACAGTTCACCCTGGATGAGAGAAGTATTCTTTGGCTAAATCAGTTTGTGCTGGATTTGAAACAGAGTCTTGTTCAATTCATGGCCATGTACAAGTTAAATGATAATTCAAAGTCRGATGAACATGTTGATGTTAGAGTTGATGGACTAATGTTAAAGGTAACTTGTAATTGATAAAGTTTTTGGTGATCCTTTGGGGGAAAAAAAGTTTTATTGTGAAAACCTATTAGCCAGGAAGCTTGAAAAACAAACAGAACCTACAGAATAAAAACACGGCTCACAAAAACTAGACAAAATATGACCTATTTAATGTGAGATACCTGTCTTTGGTACTACTTCATTTACTTTTTAGTATTTTAGTATTGAAGACCTCAGTGGAAATATTAACATAACTCACTTTACTATTTTCAATGAAGCTGGCATAGTAGAAGAAAAAATCAAGCATTGAAGTGGAATAAACTAGTAAGCAGTTCATAATTGCAGTCTCTGTGGATTAATGCCTTATATCCCTGGCTGTAGGAAATTAAAACTCCTTGATCTTGGTATTGAATGTCTGGCTTAGAGGAACGAGTTCTGCATGTTTTCAGAAGGTGGTTCTTAAAACTCTTGTCTCACTCTTTTCTATTTCACAGTGGCCCTTGGCTATAATTCAGGTACAAGAGTTTGTTTGCCAGACATTATTTGTTCCAGGAGAATGATCCATGTTAATGCAACAAAATATCATATTTTTCTTCCATTGTCTTTTAATTTTAGCAGAAGAATTACCATGCAGACAATGTTTTTTCTCACTTGATTTGACCAGAGCATCTGCTTCCAGGCAGAATTAACAATGAGCCTTTTCAGTTGTGCCCATAGGAGAGGTTTCAAGGTTTCGAAAATAGCTTGCTGAGAAATGGTTGCCTTTTTAAGGTTCTTGGTGCATATTTAAAAAGAACTTTAAAGGACTATTATTTGTATTGACTGAAAATAATTACTGAGAGTGAACAAGTTACCTTATGAATACAGACTCATACAGAATGATTAGATGTGAATAGCCTACTAAGCTAAAAGAAGGTAAAGCTTAAAGTGCTCTTAAATCCCTTAAACCTTGCTTAATGATAATTATTTCCTTCCTGTCTTATTAACTACATTGTTCTCATTCTGCCAAATTAACCACTTTTCTTAGTTTGATTAATATTTAGCTGCATATATTTTGTTACATATTTATGTGCTTGGTTATTTTGACATGAGTCTTTTAAATCACACTAACAGTCTTGGTCCCTACCATCTTTCAAGTGATTTCAGAATTATTTTTTACGCTGATATTTCCAGATCCAGCGTGGAGATATTATGACAGGAGGTAATTTTACTGGTACTAGCAAAACTAGCACGGACAAGATTCACAGTAGAAATAAAAAATTCAGCGTCAGGCATAGAATATTTCTCTTCTTTAAAACTTGGGCTAAAGATATGCAATTTAAAATAGATTCTTCAAACTGGAATGTTTTGATGTTTTTAGGAGTTGCGGTGTGTTTTTATTTTTATTGTGACAAACATTTATTGTATGACTTTTCAGGTAATGGTCACAAATATCTGTTCTGCAGTGTTAAAAATATTAACTGCCTTAGTACATTTTATACTTTCCTTATATTTTATTTCTATGGTAAAACATTATAGTGCTCAGTGAGGTGAAAATCCCTGACAATTCATGATGTAACTAAAATTCAGAGTTTGAACTTTTTTTTTGAACAAGTGAAGATTCTTTTTGCAAAGTCATTTCTGAGATAAATGTGAAACATTTCATCTTAATATATGTCCTAAATCTAAATCCTTCTGATAAGAAAAGCCTGAGTTTTTCAATGATTGTAGCCTTGTCACAACATCCTTTTCTAAAAATGAGAGGAAACAAAATCCATGAGCTTGACTTATGCATGGCATGTATAAGTAGAACTGAGTTCTCATACCTTTTGAATGATATTGCTTTGTTTTAGGTGTCATTACTATTATTTTGTTTCTTTAATGGTATACCATCTTAACCTATGTCTTTATAACCAGATGAAATGTATTTTTTAATTGCAGTTCATCATCCCATGTGAAAGTAAACCTGAAATTCATAAGGATCAACCACAAGCAATTTCCATTCAAAGCTCAGAAATGATTGCTACGAACACAAGATACTCCCCAAACTGCAGACACTCAGATCTGGAAGCTTTGTTCCAAAACTTCAAAGACTGTGAATTTTTCAGTAGAACTTTCACTGCCTTTCCAAAGTCCCCACAGAATTTTAACCTTTTGCATCCCATCTTCCAGAGACATGCTCATGAGCAAGATACGAAAATGCATGATGTTTATAAAGGTTATGTCACCCCGAAATTGAACAAATATGCATTGAAGACATCTGCAGCTACTGATGTTTGGGCCGTGCATTTTTCCCAGTTTTGGATAGATTATGAAGGAACGAAAAGCGGGAGAGGTCGACCAATAAGCTTTGTGGACTCCTTCCCTCTTTCCCTTTGGATTTGCCAACCAGTGAGATTTGCAAAGTCACAAAAAGAGCTTTTATCAAATAATCAGACAGCTTTTAACATTCCCAAAAGTGATTCTAGCGATCTTGCCAATAGACTGCAGCGCAAAAAACTTCTGAAGGAATATTACAGCGGTGAGACAGAGCCCTTGGCTAACGGTATTCAGGTGCCTCACTTCCCCGACACTTCAGGAGCACTGTCTGAAAGTTCTTCCTCTAATGCAGACATTCATGTTCTTGTCCATGTTCAAAAGCATGTAAGCATGCAGATCAATCATTACCAGTATCTTTTCTTGTTGTTCCTCCATGAATCCCTTGTATTACTCTTGGAAAACTTAAGAAATGATGTAGAAGCAGTGACAGGTAAACCTGCAAAGCAAACAGATGTCTGCATTGGGATCCTACTGAAGAGTGCAGAATTAGCCTTATTGCTCCATCCATTGACTCGGGGAAACTCCTGTAAATCCCCAGCTGTGGAAGAAGAAAGTCCCATGGCATCAGAGCTCTCCCCTTTGGAAAATGGGGGAAGTCTTGCCTCAGAGAGTAAATTAGGTAATAATAAGGTAGCACAAGATGGTACTACTAATTTTGATGATGCATCTGACTGCAAGCCTATGAGTGCTGAAGTTAGCAAAGGCATTTTAATGGATCAACTTTTGTTTAAATCGGACAGCAATATGGATTTTCAGAAAGGAATATCATTGTCAGATGATGCCTCAGATAAAGGTTTGGGAGACACAAGTGAAGGAGGAAGCAGCGGACTTTTTAGTAGAAGTGATTCAGAGGAGGTCTGTGGGCCAGTAGGTGACAAAAGCAACTTGCRTCATAGGGACTCGGTAACCATTTTGAGTAAGAGAGAAGATTCTGCTGAATTTTTCTTTGAAAAAGAGGATGGCAAAAATACCTTCTCAAGTAAGTTAAGTGAACAGGAGCGTACAACTGAAGGCTGCCCTAATCAAGTCACTGACTTGGAAACAGAAACTGCCTTAGAATCCGAAGAGCTTGAAATCAACAAAGAAAAAGTGACCTCAGTTAAAACGTTTGCCTCCCAGTCTTCATTAAGGTATAGAAGATTTGACAATAAATCACTTCTCTTGGTATTTCTAAATATTTTCTAAAAGCATAAAGCAAATAATATTGATAGCTGTCAATGGAAGTGAACATGTGGATGAAAATTATAAAAGTATGTGAATTCTGAAGGTAGGCAGTAGCATTCAGTGAGATCTAAAATTAATTCTTATCTGTTTAAAAGTGTTGATGTAATATTTAGGTATCCTGACATAGAATGTATATATATTAAGAAAAATATTRACAAAGTTACCTACAGAAGTGCCTGCTGTTTCTATGTTTATCTCTTTTTCTTCTTAGAATATTATAGTATACTATTTTTTTTTCTTTTATATCTTGCCTACTTTGGGGAAAAATAAAAAATAAGGAAATTTCATAGAACTTATTAATATTTTCCTCATGTCTTTATATTAAAAAAGTGCAAAATCTAAGGAACGCTGCCCATCCAGCCTCCCTGCGTTCTCTGTTTCTTACAAGAATATGAAGAGAAGCCCRTCACAGGTCTCTCTGGATACCATTTCTATTGACAGTATGATGTTAGAGGAACATCTGATAGAGAGTGATGGAAGTGACAGCCAAAGCTTCCTGGAGAAAGGTAAATAGATTTAAGAAAATATTTTTAAGTAGTACATGAAAATAATGTTTGTTACTAAAACAATGCTCAAGAAGATCGTAGTGCAGCAAATCCTAGATATTTCTTCACAGGGCTAATTATTAGATTCTCCATTAGTAAGAGTAAGTATTTTCACAGCATATCATTTTAAGGGAAACCCACAGGATGTGCTACTGAAGCAGTGCTGCTTAGTTAAGTACTGCTTAGGTTTCCTCTCTTGAGAACACCAAAAGCTTTGCAGGGCTGCGCTGCAACCCAGAACTAAACAAGAACTGCTCCCTGCTTACAAGCACTTGCTTTGGCTCTAAGTGCTTGCAGACTTGTACCCTGAATCGTAGTGTTCTGCTTGAAATGGTAAAGGAGCTTCAGTTTTAAGAGTAGATGAAAAGAGAAATGGATTTTCTCTGATAGTTGCCATGCTGATTGCCAGACAAAAACATTTGGTAGTCCCCTGGCAGCTTGTTCCTGATGGTGCAGTTGTTACGTATTGATTGTGTAAAGGAATATGAATCAACACACAGAATCCCAGAATGGTTGAGGTTGGAAGGGACCTCTAGAGATCATCTAGTCCAACCCCTCTGTTCCGGCAGGGAACCTAGAGCACGTGGCACAGAGTGGCATCCAGGCGAGTTTGGAAGAAGGAATGTTGAATTCCTGCTTRTCTGTGTGACAGCACTTGCTCCTAATTGGAGTAAAGAATTCAGCAATATGATAATTTTCAAAGTCTGTACGATTAGCTGCTTTCTGATAACTTCTGCTTGAAAGACAGAGCAGCTTAGTATTTTTTTAATGTGGGTTTTCTTTTTTGGTCTCCAGAAATAATGAGATGAATGCTTCATTTGCAAACGTGATATATATTTGGGTTGTGGGAGTATTCCTGCATATGCGTGTGGGAGTTATGCCAGAAAATAACTTTTCCATTTTTAATAACCTTTTACATGCCTTTTAAACTTGTTAAACAATATTTAACTGCAGGTTAAATTTGCATGCTTTTTAGTTGTCAAGGAAACACTGCTTACCACAGTCACACTAACAAAATAAAAACACACATATGTAGCTTATTTCTGTGAAGATAAAGCTGCAAACATTTCCTCTAAAGCCAAATTCAGATATGTGGATTTTGGATATAAGCATAATGTTGCTTGGAATATATTTTTGTTGTTTTGATTTGTTTTGCTGGACCAGTCTAATGTGCGATGTGGTAGACTGGAAAAGAAAAGACTCTTCACAATTTTTAAAATTAAATTGGAGTTCAGTTTCATTTTTGTCACTGTATCCTACTTTACTTGCATAGCATGTAGCATTTGGAATACTCTGTGAGAAGAATGGATTTGACATTTTAAACTATAAGAGTTTGCTTAATAAACCATTTAACTCATCTTAAAAAAAACAAGTTAATGTATGGCATATAGCAACAGACAGTAACCTTATTGCTATTACAGGAGTGATTCACATTATACTATGCTAACTTGACATCTTTTCCTGTGTGTGTGTGTGTGTGTGTGTGTGTGTGTGTGTATGTGTGTGTGTGTCAGGCATTACAGCCACAAACTTACAAAGCCCATCAGAACACGCCCAGGAAAGAAGTGCAGTGACGGAGAATTGTGGCGGGTCCTCCCCGGATGCCATGAGTGCTGCGTCGGAGAATGCACCCGAGACTAGTGAAGAAATGGTAATATTTCTGAAATCCATTACAGGTTTCAGTCAATTAAGAACAAAAYAGAGCTAAGATGAATGCTTTTAGAGGTAATTTTAAAAGTAGTTGCTTTGTGCATTATATAAGCCTGTAGATCTAATGCACTTGTAGTAAGTAAAAATGGAAATTATAATCCAAGTTACGCTGAGGATTCTCTGTCCTTGTTACTTCTTCTAAAGCAGCTGTAGATAAATGCTTGAATATGTAGCATTTTTTTGTAACGTCCTGTGTTGATGTCAAGCGTAGAACATGATACTTAGATACATTACATGTCAAACGTAGAACATGTAATGTCCAGCGTAGAACATGATACTTAAAATGCTCTATGTGTTGTCCTTATAACTAAGAGGGCACCCTATAGTTGACATCGCTCACATAGAGATGCTGCCTTAGCTGTTGCAGGATTCTGCAGTATTTACGTAGGGAGCTTAATGACTGTCCTGCAGAGCCCAATCAGAGATATCTTCTGGCTGATATTTTGTACTGACAGGGCTCAGTGTTTAGAGAAGGTTGCAAGAAGAGGGCATGTAGAGAGAGATGCTTCCACTGTAACTCCATGCCAACTTCTGACTTTTTCTGACTGGCTCTCCACTTACTTTTTGCTGATCTTTGCACTACCCAACGCTTCTTAAATTATAGCCTTGTCATAATTCAGGTCAGGAACTAGAATTTTAGCAGTTTGTGTGCCCAAGGAAAGGCAATGAATTTACTGCAATCGCTTGTGTTCTTATTGACCTCCTATTTTCTTGTTGGTAAAGTTAATCGTGTAATCCTGCCTTTGCTCTAACACATTTGTGGATCACTCATTTAAAACACTAAAATCCTACTTAAATGATTGCTTCCTTTGAAATAAAATTTCAATAATCTGTGCATGTAGGCAATAGAGAAAGCAAAATTTATGCAGAGTATGTTATGCAAATGTATGCTGGCATGGCTTTTTTCTGTGCATAGAAGATAACTAGAAAACTAGGTAACTAGAAAAAAWGAGCCCAAAACAGTATTGGATGATGAGTGTTTATCTTGTGTGATAGACACCAGAACTGACTTTGGAAAACTGGCTGCTGCTTTTAGTTAAAGATACTGCAATCCAAAAAACAGAGGAAAAGGACCAAGTGCTTTGCAGATTGCCAAATTTAGTAGTCCACCCTGGTGTTTTACCCTGGACCAATTCAACCCTCGGGATGCCTGCATGTCTTTATGGTGTATAAAGCTGAGTGGATGCTTGGGGAATTTCAGGGATTCCGGAGGTCATGTGCATGCTAGGGAATACTAGGGAACCTTCCATGACTTTTCTGCCCAGTTCTGGGTAGTAGTGAGGCAGACAAACATTGCTCGGTTGAGGAGCACAAAAAAATAGAAGAGATGAGAAAATTGTGTGTTTTTCTCAGAGCCAGGGTTATGGATACAAAGATTCTTTTCCCTGGGGGAGAAATGGGTTAGACAGAACTGCATGAACAATAACCTGTATATAATCTTTTTTTTTTCCTTTTTTTTTTTTTTTTTTTTTAACAGATGTCTGTTGTAGTTTTTCAAATATTTGGTGTTAATGGTGAAATTGATATCAGAGGTGAAGATACAGAAATATGCCTTCAGGTCAACCGAGTGATACCAAATCAGTTGGGCAATATCAGTGTTCGACACTATCTTTGCAACAGAACTGTGGGTAAGAACTAATCTCAGTACAGTGAAATGGGAGTTGGGAACATTTGTTGTAGCAACGGACTAGTGACTGGTCATTTTGTAGATGCCCTTTGGTTGCAAAATAAAAATACAGTAGCCTTAAAGCAYAAAACCAGCTTTGTGCTTGCATCAGTACAAGGGTGCCCTTCATSTGCTGGTTTAGAATATGTATTCTGACTAGTTTCTTTTGAGATAGCCATTCTTTGAGTGGGAAAGAGGAAAAAATGGAACTTGTTCTGATGGTGGGGGTAAAAAAGGAAAATGGAAAGCAGAATATTTTAATTAATTGCATTGAATTTTTCTGATTTTGTTTTATTATTATTAAATATGTTGCATTTTTTGTATGAAGCTGGAACACCCTTACTTAATACTGTGTTTAAGTATCTTGGCTTGAAGGACTGTTTCTGGAAACAGCTTATTCATTTCTTCTGATCTGTTTTGTTAGATGAAGTTAACACCCACAGTATAAACTGGCTTAACTTTCCTTAAACAAGAGAGTTTGAAACCAACTCTGTATCAGGAAAGATGAGCGGTCATATGAGGTATTTTCCTATCGACATGAAAGATTTGAAATACAGGRTGTGGTTTCGTGCCAGATATTTGCACGTCTAGAACCAGTGTATTAAGGTAGAGCTGTTCATGGGCATGGATACATGGACATTCTCTGCCAGAMAACCTAGTCACATACTGTGATTTTTTTGTTGTGTTTTGTTTTCCCTTGGCACGATTCCTTGGCATGCCCCTCCACGTCACAGCCTGCCTCGTTCCCCTCTGCCAGCCTTCCACAGGGGTTGCTGGATGCCAGCTCTGTTGCTCCGTAGGGTTCCTGGGGCAGCTCTCATGCACCTGCCTCCTGCTTCTGGCTCCTCTGCTTTCCCAGGAAGCAGCTGGTTGCCACTTCTTTCCAGCCTCGCAGCAGCCCAGATTTCCTTGAGGAAGCTCTGCTGGGTGATGTAGCCCACRGTGTCCCAGGGAAGAACCTCCTCCCTGGGAAGCTGAGCAGCTGCCAGCAGCTGCGGCCTGAGCAGCCGGTCCTGACGGYGCAACTGCGTCCAGGCCCCTGCAGCCAAGAGGTGGGAAGCAGAGGGGACCGCGGGGACCTGCAGAGCCAGCACTCTGCCTGCTCGATCTGTCAGGCCCACTGGGAAAGTCACTGGGAATCAGCAAGGAGAGCTTGGAGCCTCCCTGCTCGTGCGGATGGGAACGTAGAGCCTGCCTGCTCTGCTTGTGAGAGGCTTGTGCCCTGCCTGGTTGCTGCTATGGACAAAAGGTTGGGATGTGTTTGGGGTCTCCAAACACTGCAGCTATTTTCTGACTCTTCCTGCCTGTTTCTGGTGAGTATCTGGTTGGGTGGGACTGAGTGAGTAGCACTTGCTGGWTCTGAATTCCTGGATACTCTCATTTCAAGACTTGCATCTTCTCCCCTCCATAGGGCTGTACTTTTTGTGCTTAGTTAGGAATCCTCTACAGTGGCTGTTGCTCCACATTTCCCCCATTCTTTTTTCTGATAATTCTTCTGATAGAAGAATTAAAGAGGAAAACAGTTCAAAAATAAAGTTATTTCTAGAGGATCAAGGTTAGGAAAAACTTGAGAATGAGATCGAGAGAAGCAATTTAAATGAATTAACAGTAGCACAGAGCAACCAAGAGAATCCATGAGCAAAAACACAAGAAAAACCATCTAGACACATCGATCTTGGGGTGAAGGCAAAAGCAACTTGCAAGAATCTGTGGGATACCAGTGTAAAGTCTACTAAAATTTAACATAGACCTAATGTTACGTAATCCAGCACCACTTCCCCTGTCTCGAAACTAACATGCCAAGTTTCTGCCTTAATTTGATGGGCAGTGTGACTGGCGATTTGGTGAACTGTCACTCCTGGTTCCTACCAGCTTTGATATGTAGAGTATTAGTCTTCTTGAGAATCTGAAACTTTAAATACTAATGCTGTGAATGGTTATTATACCATTGCGCAAGCAATTAACAACGAAACAGCCTTTAAAAATGTTTTCCTGTGCTACAAACATCTTTAACAGGAGGCTTAAGTGCATCTGTAGAGAATTTTTATATCATAAAAGCTTGTGACTCATCAGCTCAGCAGTGACATACAGCAGTTTTCACAAATGCCTTGTGGACTGGATGCCTAATCCAGAAGGAGCACTGGCTCTGGGAAGTGTGGCTTTCSTTTCTTTAAAGGCATGTAGGTGGGGTGCACTGTACTGAAGAAATTGTTATTTCCTGGATGTCACAACTCCTGCTAACTGCAGAGAGAGCAGTGCTTTAAAAGAGTGTGTGAATCTCTGAGYAACTTGCACGTTTTTTATTTATTTATTTTTATTTTTATATTTTTGGCAGCAAACATAAATTTATTCCCAACAGGTTATCTCTGAAAGAGGGGCAAAGCATCTTGCCACACAGGAAATTCACACTTCATAGTGGCACAGCTTAATTCAAGCTGGCAGGATGGTCTCGAGCGTAACCGGCAGCTCCAAGCGGGGTCAGCTGTGAGATCAGAGCACGTTGCTCAGGGCTTTATAGAGTCAGGTCTCAAGAACCTCCAGTGACGGAGCCTGCATCTCAGGGATCTGCTGCCTGCCCGACTGTCCTCATTCCCAACACGTGATTTGAACCTGCCTTGTTTCAGCCTGGGCCTCTTCTCTCAACCTTCCACCAAGCAGCCTTGGAAGGCCCTGCTTGTCTTGGCTGTAACCTCCTCACAGGGAGTGACAGGCAGCTCTTAGGCTTCCCRTAATACAGTAATTGCACCTATACTCACAGCCAGAGATGAAGAGAAGATTTTAATGATTTTAAAGATTTTAATAGCATATAGCTTTCAAGATACTGTATATAAACAACACGGCAGTAATATGATAAAATGAGATAGGGTAGAATAGAAGAAGCAAAAGTAGAGAAGAGAAGCATGGGTTTATTTGTACTTGAAATTTAATTACATCCATTACATTCTGTTTCTGATTTTTTAAGTGTTGAACTTTCCTGAGGTAATCAGAAGTTAAACCAAAAAAGCATCTATATTAACCACTTTTATTTTAATTACTTGATTTCAAGTTTAATTAATCAAGATTTTGATTAATTTACTTGATTTCAAGTAAAATCTGTACTTTGATATTAACAGTCTTTCAAATTTCAGTAATTTTGCTCTTTAATATGAGTAATTGCTGTGAACATTACTTGTTCTTTTTACGCGTCATTTCTGTAGGTCAGTGACCAAAATGACTGTTTAAAAGTCTTTTTGTTAATTTACCCTTGAGCGTGTGGTGCTTTTCCGTTTGCTTGTGGTGGTGAATCCTCTTACACTGAAACCAACAAGAAGCTGCCAGTTTAAGCTTCAAATCTAGTGACACCCGCGTAGTGGAAGCAACGTACGGTCCTGTTCTCCATGYAACTAACCCCCTGCTTCCGTGTTCCCCTGTTCAGTGTTAGTGCGTGTGTTCCCGAGTCAGGAAATTCCAGCTTTTCGAGAGCAAACCTGCTCTCCTGAAAGTGTGAACTGACTTTAAATGATTTCCTGAATTAGGAAGGAATTAATGGAAGGRTATGCACAATAATGGTTTTCCCTTGTCAAGGCTTTGAAGACAGCAGATATCYTGTATGCTCAGCAATACTGCTGTCCTGTCCTTTTCTGTTGTCCTGTGAGGCGCAAGTACTTCTCTGTACCATTGATTCCTCTGCCGTACTTTTTAAGTGATATGCTTACARCTGATTGCATATCAAATTGATATGCAAGTGTATGGCTGTCATTCTTGGATAATACTTGGATAGTATTAGGCAATAGAGCTAAAAGTAATTGTGTCATGGTTGCTTTCGAATTCGTACTGCAAAATTTTAATGCAAATTTGTTTTCCTTTTGCAATAGGTTCGGASTGTAAGGTTGTGGCTGGACCAGTGAATCCATCACCTGAGATTAGTCTGAGGTGGGAAAGTGGGCCGAGCGCTATCGTCCACTCTCTGCTGGCTGTAAAAAATGGCTTTCTTCAGTGTCATATAGAGAACTTCAGTGCGGAATTTCTAACATCTTCCCTCACAAATATTCAGCATTTTCTAGAAGATGAAGCTGTTGCCGCAGTGATGCCTATGAAGATAAAAGTTTCTAATGCRAAGATTAATTTAAAAGTATGTTGACAAAAAAGCTATTTGACTTCTTCTTCTTCAAAAAAAAATGTTCTTGTTTCTTGATGATAAACTAGTAATCTGGATATAGCTACCTTCAAAGAAACTGCTATCATATTTACTCTATGAGGTCTGTAGATAACACTGAAACAATTTAAAATTCCAGASATTTGGATAGTTCTGTTGTATGCCCAGAAATAAATTTGCTGCACGGTAAGAGATTAGTTGTGTGAATATATTATATACTTTGTCTTTTTAATTTTTATTTGRGTGAGATTTTTGCTTGGCATAATGCAGGTTTTCTGATTATGAAGCACAGATTGCAGAGGTTAATTGTCTCTCCTACTTAGAAGATAAAGCTCAGGACAAAAGAAGGAAACAGCTTATTAGAATTCCAGGTCCATTCACTTGCATACTGCGGCTTAGAACCTAGTTTTCTTGGTCTGTTTTACCTAGAAACAGTTACTAAATAATACAGGCTTTTCTCACTACTGAAGCTTAAAATAGTAACATTAAGAGGGCACTGCTGCTCAAGTCTCCTTTCAGACACTTAAAGGAGACAGTGAGCTCTGTGCTGCGCAGCCACRGGCTACAAAGGTAAGACTGATTTTAAAAACTGATCACTATAACATGGCATTAATAATCACCTATGAACATTAACCAAAGTGATAACCACAATAACCACACCTCCAGTTCTGCATCTTGTGCTAAGTAAGTCCTTAATTTTGCTAAGATCACTCTTAAATCTGATGTTTATCTTAAACTCTGATGTTCTCATCAGCCATATCTGTACAGTCTAGTCTGAACACTTGAATATCAAAATGCCTCTGTATTCCCTGAGCCTTGGGCAGCCTTTCCGTCCCCTGAGGATCCTTAGGCAGTTCTTTAGGGCCTGTTCTGCTAGAGCAGTAGCAACAGGACTTTCCATAATGGTTGTGGAATGGTTCCCCAGGCTTCACTGCTATTACAAAAATGAATGTTCAAATGTAAGAAGAAAGATCTTAATAGTTAGTCATCTAAATTTGAAACGGGATTGTTCTGGCTTATTGGCAACAAGTCAGACTTGTGCAGAATGTTTCAGAGAAAATAGCTGAATCTGAGGTGGAGAATATACGTGAGCAAACTGGCCCAATGTGTTTGGCAACAGAAGCACTGAAGCACTCAGCAGTGCCCGGAGGTCCCAGTGAAGTTAGTCTCGATGGCCGCCAAGCTGCAGGTGGAGGCAGTGTGGATCACAGTGCCCAGCTGACATGGAAATGATTCATTTCTCTAGAGCTTGGGGGTAATAAAGAGCAGGAGGATATGCTTCATGCTGCATTGCCTATTCAGTGCAGTATTCCTCCTCTGTGAGAGTTGATGTAGCGTGTTTCCTTGGCGGGAGGGGAGGAGAAAAAAAAAAAAAGAAAGAAAAAAAAAATCAACCTCTTTCTTAAATTCTTAATTTATTTTTGCACTTTCTACTGCAATCTCAGTTTTTTTTTTTTCAAGGTATTTTGGCAGCTACAGCTCAACAGTTTGATTTTGCAATGTGTTTAAYGTTGATGGTACATGCTGTTCTTGATTAGGCTGGATGCAAGCTCTTGATTAGCCTGGATGCATTACTCTGCTTGACAGGAATAATGACCTATAAATTACTTCCTGGAGAGACCCAACCAGAGCAATTTGTGATGTTTCTCATCTGTTGAGTACACTAATGTAACTGAACTGCAGCTGCTGTCATCTATATTCTAAAAAGACAAAATTCCCTCAAGAATGATAGTTTTATCTATTCAATCTTTAAATGGTTCAAGGGAAAATCAGATACAAGTTGTKTTATAGTGCGGGGTTCTTATCTCTGAGAGCTCCTGTGCTAAGAACATCTTGAGTTGGGATTTGATATTACTGAGACGTCTGTGAAATACTTTGAAGTATTCTAGTTCGTATATTCTGAGTTCAGCAGAGTCACTCCAGAGATAATTTCAGGTCTTTAATATGACCCACAGGAAAAAAAATATGTATGGAGCGAAATTTTGGTACAGAGAAAAAAAAAAAAAGGCCTAGAAATTTCTACTCTGAAGTGTTGCCTTTCAAGTTTCATTAAATCCACTTATGTGTAATTTAACATTTTAATTAACTATTTCAATCTACTAAACCTTCAAGGTAATTTTTGAGTATTTGTGTATTTTAGGATGACAGCCCTCGTGAAAATCTCAAGGTATCTGAACTGGTACCCATAACGCTGCATATTGACATACTCTCGATAGAAAGAAATGATGATGGCTCCTTTCTCATTAGAGGTATGGATGTTCCTGCAATCTGGTATCTATCTCAGTATTATCTTCTAATATTATTACTAGTGTTGTTTTTTCTTCTGCCACACCCCTCCAATTTCAATGCAGGTTCCAAGATAATCAGGATAATTTGGATAATTATGAGCTAAATTATATAGTTATTCAGATGTGTTTTCTGAATAGCAGGCTTTGGTGTTGTTCTATAGCTAGTAATTATTCTGAATCCATGTTCTGTGATGATAGCGATCAGTACAGAAATGTGTTAATATTCTTCAACCTGGTAGATAGATACATACATGCATGTTCTTTCTTATCACTCCTCTTTTCTCTTCTCTCTTTCTCCAGAAGGGTATATGATTTTAATTAATGTATTACTTATTTTTTAATCTGATTCTGCATGATTGATATATTTTAATATTAGAAGTGTATTTGTTGAAGTGGCTTTAAGTTAGTGCAGATAAGAATCGATCTACAGAACAACAAAAAAACACCTAAAGCTCCTTAATCTCAAGTGTTTCTCTGTGAAACAGACAATCAAAGAGTAAATGATGTGTCGAAGATCAAGAAATCAAGTGATACAGTGCAACAAGCAGCTGGACCCGCCAGACAGAGAACACGGGACCAAGCCACACAGATATCTTGTGATACTCCCAGACCTTATACCTCAAGCAGGGATTCAGCTGACTTCCTCAGAGATCAGGTATTAAGAATTCCTTTTGATGTACTGATTTATTTTTACAAAATCATTTTAACCATTAAACATCACAGTTGTTAAATGTTCTGAGTATAAATCTCTCTCAGACATGGAAAATACGAATTACAGATAGTGGAGTATAATTCAGTACACTGGCACGTAAAGTAAATTTAGCATTACTCTCTAAAGTAATACACTACAGTATAGAGTACATACAATAATACAGTAATACACTACAGAGCAGTTCTGCTGTACACAAAGATGTAGATGTTTTCTGATGGAGCACGTCACCAGCCGCCACAGCCATCCTCCTCTCGACCCTGTGCAACACGATTGCCAGAGCTAAGGACCATGGGTCAGACCCATGGTGATACATCACTTATACTTGGATTCAGAAATGCTGGTGACAAAACGTGCACAGCAGTTTCTCCTGTTGGATGGGAATCTCTTTCCAGAGTTCAGAACCCTGAGTCATTTCTGTTCTACTGGAACTCTGTGTGTCTTGTTTTTTCGAGCTGCTATTAACTCTCTCTGTGTTTCACTAAGTGGGAGTCAATCTCTGGCCCCAACCAACCTGCCCTCAGCAACAAATTGATATTTCAATGATTACTGCAATGGGGAAAAGTTAACAYGATGTAGAAGCACTGCTAACTTTCTTTTCTAACCTGATCATTTCAGCTTATTGAAGAAAATGAATGTCTCAAACAGGAACTAGCCAAAGCTAAGATGGCTCTTGCAGAGGTCCAGATGGAGAAGGATGCCTTGCTTCATCGTATAAAGAAAATGAATGTTGATCATCATCTGTAGGACAATGTTCTCTTGGTGCAAGGATGGYGGCATCTAAAATACTTTCGTGAAATGCTGGAAGAAATTATGATTCAGCATTGTTTTTTTTTCAGCTCTTTTTAAACTGATGTTGGAAAAATCAGTACATACTCTATTAGTTTACTGAAGAGGAAATGTATACCTGTGACTTTTAATATTGTCCAAGAAGGTGTCATTTTTAAAACATTTTCAGAAAACTGGATAGCTCAGCCAAGAAAGAAGATGCCTGTGTGCATAACTGAGCAAAACTTCCCATGCCTCTTTCTACAGTACCTCTCCTGGTTAAGATTGTGTTGTTTTGTTATTAGCAGAAGGTACCTGTACAGGAAGTCACATTTGCACTATGATGATGTGGGTTAGATCCTCCATAATGGCATAGCTACCGCAAATTCAAATACCAGTAATAACGTGGCCCTAAATTCAGTATGATTTGCCCAAGGAAGATGTTAAGAGGAATCTTCCAGTGCTACAGAGCTTTTTGTACCCATTCCATAGAGGATCCYGAAATACCACAGTAAATGAGAATTTATCAAGTGTTACTCTTGGATTTTCTTCCTGCATGAGAGTCCACTGTCTCATCACAGCTGGTGCACCTTATTTTTTCCTGCCTCTGTGATGAGGAGATCTAGGAGCCCCTCAGGAGGATCTGGGAGTGGGTGAACGTCGAGCCTTCCGTCGTGTCGCGTGTAGGGCTGAGCCGCGCACACTTCCTCAGACATGTCTGAGGATTTGGTCCAGTGTATTTAAATATGTAATGTCAATGCTTGTAAGAAGAAAAAAAATCCTACTGGGATTCATTAATTGTATATTGTTTTTTTGATATAAAAAAAAAACCAAGCTTCAGAGAATCATTAATTACCCTATGGAACTGTGAGATTACATGATATGTAATTATACAGTTGAAACCATGGGTGATTTGTATAAATTGAATGATAATTTTCAGCTAAAAACTGGTACAAATAAAAAAGCACAACACTGTAAAATATAGAATATAAGAGTGTGCTTCTAAACAATGTAGGGAACGTCAAACAAAACGCATACATGCCTATGAAATACTGTATTTGCTAGGAGTAAAAATGACTGAAGAATTTAACTAGTGACCTTGAATCTGACAAGTGAAAATCTTTTAATTGCTACTGCAGTTGTTTCTACACCATGGGATATTTGAGGGAAGTTTTGTTTGTAGATATGCAGATAAATCTCGAAAAGTATTTAATATCCTGTGGTTCGACTTTGCATATTCAAGCTATCAAACTAGTTTTAATTAAACTAATTTTGATTAAAACTTTTTGGAGGACACACATAATTTGCACTGCTGAAAATAGTTACAGAAAATATTTGGATTTTAATCAGAAATTTTACGGAAGAACTGATTCAGGCACTATTTAAAAGCTTGCTTCCCAAGACCCTGGTTGAAAATCCCTTTCATGCCATGGAAATTTTTATCTGAACAGGGTAAATGACCCTGAATAAGATGAAAAAAAATATATAATTGAGACTGTGTTTCTCCTAGAGAAACTTAATATTTATATTTCGGAAAGGTATTAAAGGCAATGCAGTATTGAATGTGGGTAGTCCAAATTAAAAGAAATATAATGTCAGATTCGGGGAAGGAGTTCTCAACTGGTTTAATTCTGACTGGTACTATTAGAGGTCTGAATTTTAAATCARTTCCCTCCRACCACAGTCTAGGTAGAATGATCCTAATGAAAGGAATGTATAGGCTGCCTAATAGCATGTTGCTGGAATAATATGTTGAGATTTGTTTAATTTTTAAAAAGAAATAAACAGCAATATCAAAAATCTCTCCTTGTTACTGCACAAGCTGCCATCTGCTTCTTAAAGAAATGCTGCTTTGCTCAGTATGAGCATGGAAATCCTGGGTGTCACCTTCCACTTTACTACGGATGAACAGGGTTGTGGTTTGGGGCAGTTTTGTGGTAATARGTGGTGTAGCTTGTGGGCTGTCCAGAGGAGACGCGTGTGCTTGTATATGGACTCAGAAGAAGCGCACCATGTTGCGCTGAAACCAGCCCTGTTACTGAGAACAGGCAAGGGGAGAGTTTGCATCTTCATGTTTTAAAAGTACAAAGGTAAACTACACCTTAATATGATAAATTAAAAATGGCAATTAATGGCCCCAGGTTAAACAAAATGTATTTGCTGCTGCTGTTGTTTGTGATCCCCTAAGCCCTAGCTAGGAAATACGTGCCAGCGGGAGAGGCTGTTGAATGAATCAGGGCTTTTGTTCTGTACAGAACTAAAAGAACAGCATTCGGAGAACTTCAATATGTGCAGAAAGCTGGCACCAGAAATGTTGCAATCGGTTACCAAGTTTTCTTGGGGAATTTAAAGTCTACGGATTAGCTTAGCACTCATTCAGTTTGTTCGGAAATGCTGTTTTAATGTCTAATARTGCTTTCAAGTTAGCCCACCTTGAAGAGTCTCTTCCATGGAATGCAGCGGGCACTGTTACAGAATGACAGACTGRTTGAGGTTGGAAGGGACCTCTAGAGATCACTTAGTCCAACYCCCTGCTCCAGCAGGGACACCCCGAGCACGGGGCACAGGGCGGCATCCAGGCGGGTTTGGGAGATCCCCAGAGAAAGAGACTCCACAGCCTCCCTGGGCAGCCTGTGCCAGGGCTCTGGCACCTCTACTGGAAAGTTCTTGTTCCAGCTCTCACAGTAATTCTACCCTACTAATAAGCACCAATTTAAATCACAGTGCTGCCACCTTACAGAATTGCTTTCAAAAAGGCTTCCTAGAGGGGCAACTTGGTGCCACTCCGGCCTGTATCCACGGGCTGTCGCATAAACTCTCGAGTTCTCCCTGACGACGCAGCCTCCTTGGTGCCTCTGCGGCTCCTCCCAGGGCTGCTGCTTTGTTAGCCCGGGTCTTGGCCGCCCCTGCGCCTGCTTCCTGCCTTAATCCTGGCGGGAAACCAGTGCGCAGCGGCTGCTCTCAGACAGGAGCAGGGCACRGGATGGGGATGGGGGGTGCAGGGAATGGCCTTTCCTCTGCCTGCAGCCATATCTCCGGGTCCCTTAAGCCATGGCTTTTATTCCTATGCTTTCTCTCTGTCTAGCTGTTGTCTTAGACTGGGATCATCTAATGGATCTCCAAAGGATAATTGCTAGCTACAGAAGCTCTCCTATGCCTGCCATGGTAGCGCTTCCCTTTATTCATGATAAATTCCATAGTAAGTATAAATGGAGCATGTTAATAAGCGTAAAAACCTGCATATCTAYATACGTGAGAGCACAAAATGTGCCAATGTACCTCAGAAGCAAACAACTCGAGGTGATGAGATGGAGAAAAATGATTCTATATAACAATGTAGTTGTATTGGTTTGGTTCTCAAAGCACTTATTGCAGAACGCACAAGCTAGATTTTAAGCTCACTGCTGCTATCTACAAATTTTAGAGAGTACTTCAGATTGATTCAGCTATTGATTTAAATCAGTCTTTTATCTGTTGCAGCAGCTGAAAATGACCTTGCTAATATGTCAAGTAGCAATGAAATTTTGGGTACTTGCTGTGAAATCCACTAATCCATCCCTCTCAATAGGCAAATGGGGCTTGCAGCAGCTCTGCAACACAACCTTCTCTCTTTCTGTCTCAACCCATGTCATTTCAGTGCAGTTTGCAGCTTTAGAAGAGCAGCCCCGTTTCTGTGGGTCAGTGAAGACACGTATCACAGTGAGCCCCGGAGCYGGCTGCTGACACGCATGGACCTCTAGTAGGTATCGAGGCAAACACAGGGCTTCTGGGGGCACAGAAATCCTCCACCGAGGTGAATTCACCCTAGGTGCTTTTGTGGCAACGTGTCTCCTGACTGCGTGTTACTTATTGTAGTGTAGGACTCCTACTGGGCGATAACAGGGAGTCTGGGAACACGAGCACCACGAAGGTTAAACTCGTGTCAGTCACTCTTAAGTGATGTAAAAACAGGTAGARCAAAAGGCTACAATAGGTTGTCTTTTGCAGGAGGAACAAAGTCCTATTTCAAGTCTAATTAGGAAAAAGCCTAAATCTTAAACTCAACAGAAAACAAGGGCTGTGTAGTTACAGTTGTTATCTAAACGTTGCATTTTTAAACATTTTTATATCAAACCTTAAAAAGCTTTTAAGCACTATCTTTCAATATTTTTTCTTTGAAATTTGTTTTATGATATAATTTAAATATAATGATCTCTTCACTGAGAATAGAAAGTCTCTTACTTCAGTGAAGTAATTACAGATGTCCAGGAGCTTCAAGCCGTTTAAAAGATATTGCAAAATAAGTGTAAGCAAGTGTTGGGCTTTTTTTCTGGCTACTGATTAAATTCCTTTTTTTTTTTACATACTGGCTAATGTGTATTTTGGATACAAAAATATGAATTTTAATTATGAAAGAGGTATTTTGGAACTYTTTAAAATGAAGATTAAAAAAAAAATTCTTCAACTTTCAGCCTCTCAAATACCATAGAAGATCTTTAAAGTTTGTTTCATGTTATTTTGCTTGCAAAGGAAATGAAGGAAAAAGAAATCTTCCCCAAAACAACTAAGCTCTCTTAATAGCCTCTGCTCGCACCCAAAATCAGGAGAAGGGTCTGCTTTCCAAAGGGAAGAGACTCTTGCATTGTTGCCTACTTAAACAGGTCAATAGACTTCTGTTAAAGGCAATTTTGCTTTTATCTGTCAGCCAGCCAAACCATACCTAGCCAGCTCCATTTAAGTACCTTTATTTTATTGTTTCTTCTATAGCCGTTCCTTTTTTGTTGCTGCCATTTTAACATTTTGAGAGTTCTTGACAGTTTTGAAAGTAAAAATCTGTTTCACAGCCAGCTGAAGAACCACCGAAAACAGTTCAAACTTTGTAAGGAATGCAAGACAGCGACTAAAGCTAAGTCTGCTGGGTGGGTAAGGCGGTAGTTTGGGGAGTGTCGGGCATGTGGAAGCTGCTGCAGTTTGTGTAGGTTAGACTGTGGTTGAAACCACCAAGATTTGACGCAGGATAGATGATTGCCACAGATCTTAAGTCCTGGACAGAAACACGTGGCTGGAGGAGTCCTTCAGAGGTGCTACTGTGTGCCAATAAGTGCTCAGCACAACAACTGAAATGTGGAGTGAATCCAGGTGCCTTTATTCAGTTTCCAAATCTCCCCAYGCTGTTGCCATGGAATGAGCAACTGCCTTAAACACTTTGTTCAAGATGTAATTAAATTGCACTGGTTACTAATGAGGCTTTTGAGCACTTTTGCCATGAGGATTGTCATACCAAAGTGTATGATGAGTAATGTCCAACTGCTGAGAGTGCCACACCAGTTCTCTCGTTAAAAAATTTTCATCCATACTCCTCCAAGTAAAATGAAATTGGGAGCAGGGCTCTCCTCCCCCCAGCACCACTAGATGGCAGTCCAAGAAGTCACTTGTGGCTTCTCCACCTTCTGGTTACCCACATGTCTCATTCCCTGCTCTGTGGAGTCTTAATGAAACTTGAAAAACTCAGCATACATGGAGTATTTATCATCTTTTGGTGATTAATTTTATATCATAATTTCAAATCAGGACTTTAATTTAGATAGCTTATCTTTGGTACTATTGGCTCCTTCCTCGAGGATTCTGATTTTTTCTTTCTTTCTTTAAATCTGCATGAAATATCTGAATGTTCTAAGAAGAAAGATTTTAGTCTCTTCTAGGTTTAAATAAAATTTAAAATCATATTTTTGTACATTTGGTCCCTTTTTATAGTGAAATATTTACCATGGTTGTAGTGGTTGATCATTATCTGCCAACACAGACATTTTAGGAAATTTTTACTACCACAACTCCACTTCGATATTATCAGCTTATTTGTTTAATATTGCTGCTATGGAAAACAAAACAAAACAAACAAACAAAACCCTCTGATTTTATTCTACTAGTATTTAAACTACTATTTTATTCTACTACTTTTCAATGTAAAACTTTTCATGTTTTTTCAGAAATAACAAAATCCAATCTCTTTAAAAATGCCCACCTTATCCACCTTCACCAGACGGTAATCTATCAAGTTATTTTGTATTAACACTATAGCGTGTGGTAAGTGATCTGGAGCCTTTTCTTTTTATATCATGCTTGGTGTTCCAAAAGCTTCTCAGCGGAATGACTAAGCAGAGAAAAACAATCTATATAAAATTTACTGTAGGAATGGGGTCGCTTCATTTTTGTCAAATAGTTGGAGAAAATAACATAGAAAGCAGATGTCTTTTCATTCCACTGGAATCTTAATGTGTTTTTTTCCTTTTTTTTTTTTTTTTTTTTTTNTTTTTTTTTTTAAGACAGACTACACTTCAGAATAGGTCTGATGGTCCTAATGAATGAGAAAGTTTTTTAAGGTGTCATCCTGTAGTGCAGCAAACTAGAATATGATACAAAATCTCACAATATACTGGACATGAACACAATCACAGCAACCAATATGAACTGAATTTGGTATAGAAATGAGGCATTTATGCTCAAGTACTTCACATGAAGGATCCTGAGAAAAGATTTATACCTAAAACACAAGATTCAGTATTTCTGGGTTTCAGAAAAAAATATTAATCAAAAATATCTGCTTACAGAGATCTTGTGC